TTTTTATACCCTGAACCCATTAAAAATGGGAAATCAGGGTATAATGGTTTTGTGTAAAAGTATGTAACGGGCAGAAGAATTCATCGCAGACCCCATTAAGCATATATATTCTTGATCAGGACGACAAGTTGAGTCGATATAGCCCTGTCCGTCTGTCCGTCCGTCCGTCTGTCTGTCTGTCCGTCCGTCCGTCCATCCGTCCGTCCGTATGAGTGCGTCGATCTCAGAAGATACAAAAGCTAGAGAGCTGAAATTTAGCATGCATACTCGTGTATACCATACGCAGTGCGAGTTTGCTTTATTATTTCGATACCCGATAACTTTTTATCGAGAATAATCGAAAAATTGATTTTGTTTTTTCAGCCTCAGATTTACTATATATATATTTACAGATTTTAGATACCATGCCCCCTTCGCCCCAAATTTCAAATACTAGAGACTTGTGCTTTGGAATGTACATACATTTAAACATTATGATTACGTTCATTAAAATTGTATGTCTATAAAAGAAGTTATTCAACAGCGCAGCCCAAGCGCAGTCGCTGCTTACTGCGCAATTAGCAGAGCGCGTTTTTACACGTGCGTGCGGATGCATGTGTATGTACATAAAAGAAGTACAGAATGATTAGAATATCAGATTGGAGGGTTCAGGGTATCTCCTCGAGCAGCCTCGACTAGAGCCTTCTTACTTGTTTATTGATAACTTTATCTTTCTCTACCTTATCTCTCTGTATTTTATAATATTATTAAATACGTATTAGTTATTCAAAAGTCCAAATTTTTATACTTCACCTACATGATCATTAATTTTCATAGAATATTGTCATTTACATCTTCAAAGTTGTATCAAATATGCATTTGATATACTCAAGCCAAATGAATGACTTAATTATTGATATTGATATGATATTCCTTTTAGCTTCAATATTAACTTGTTTTACAACCTTTTCATTATTGCTCAGCAGTTTCTTTTGTTATCTATGATTATAATGTTTATATCAACAATACTCTTCATATCGGTAATACGACACCTCTACTCGCTACGGCCTTAGCTACTTATATATTTCTATTTCTATGTATCAGATATTCATACAATTCTTATTTCATTTAGAAATCAAGCTGTTATATTAATTATAAAAATAATGAAAATATTTCCTTATACAAATACTTAATTTCTTTCTCACTTTTCCTTTTCACTTTTATTTCCTCCCTCACCCATCTGTTTATATGCTCTGCCCACGCTTTTGCGGAATCTCAAAGACAATTTGCCTGAACGTAGCTGCGATGGTTACATAAAGCCAAACAAGAAACCTGATGTGTGCCTGCTCGAGCGG